AATTAAATTTTAAAATTATTAAAATATCCTTAAATTTAAAGTATGTTTTTTTAATGGAATTTTTTTTAACTTAACTTGGTACATGCTAAAATATAATAACAAAAACCTTACGCAAATTAGCAAATCATATATATATATATATATTCATGCATGTGAATTAAGATACAGTACGAAATCATGAAAAACGTACTCATTTCTTATTCTTAACGGTGAATTAAGATACAGTACGAAATCATGAAAAACGTACTCATTTCTTATTCTTAACGATGCACCTACAACTTAATTCTCCAATTTGCTTCGTATTTGAAGTATTAGATCCTCATGCATGAGCTTTAAACGAATTTAACTTTTGACTTATTGATTGTGAAAAGTGCTTTTTTTTTATGTACTTTGAGAAGTTAACAACCCTTTTCCTTTGCTGAATGCTTACGCTATGAATCATTCTTTGATGCATATACCCTTTGATAAACCTTTAACCTTTTGACAAGTCTCATTTCCTTAAAAGACTTGTTTGAACTGTCTATAATATAAAGTGGGAAGGAATAACATGGGCTTTCATATCTCATCTGCCCACTTACGTGGACTAAATGATCTCAGTTTAGAGCTTAATAATTAACACATCTTACTCATTTTACCAACACATAGGAATATGTTCCTTGTGTGTTTAAGACTTGTCAAACTTCTTCTAGTCTTCCTTATTCACTATTTTTATCAACAAATTACATTATTAATCATTTAATGAAAGAATCTTCCACTTTTATAACTATTTTTCTTAAAACTTTTAATATATTAATTGCTAGACAATGAATTCCATGCCGTGCTTTGTTTGGGAAAAAAAATTTACTTGCCAGAAAAAGAACAGGAAAAACACAATATAAAATGAAAATGACATTTTTTTAGCTTAATATGTTTTAATCTTTTCATAGGTATTTTCAATTAAATTCATATTAAACTTTTTTGTTTTATCAAGTATTAAAAAAAATATATTTTTATTTGAATATTTGTTGTTTAATTTTTCCGTTAATTGTATGACATGATTGTTGTATTAATATATGATATTTTGTAAATGACTTTTACATCATTACTAAAATTGAACATGAACAAATGTTAATCTCATCATTGATATAAATGTATTAATTACAAAATCTCATAGTTTTTAACATGTAAAAATAAGTCAATAACGATGTAAAATAATCCTCACGTCATCTAATTAATGACAAAATTTAAATGACACATGCCCAATTAAAATATATAAATTTTAAATAATGAATACATCAAAATAATTTAATAGAGAGTATATTAAAAATACCCAAAATTTATGTGGGACTTAAAATTTAATTAAGCATTTCTTATATATTTTTAATTTTTAACTTGGTTTTAAAATATTTTTAAAAAAATGTTCAACTTCTTTTAATTATATATAATTTAAAAAAAAAATAAACAGAAAATACTAAATTAGTAGTTCGAAATGTATCTTGGCTAGTAAATAATTTATCTCTTCTTTACAAACACACAAACACTATCAAGAAGGTATTTTTTATCTTAGACAGTATTTTTTTTTCATCTTTTTTCTCTTACAATAACGGATCTTGGCATAATAAATCTTATTTTTATATCACCTATTAATTTTTCTCACATATTGAGGATAATGTTTATCAACATAGATTACACATGTGGACGTAAAAGCTCATCTTTTTGTTATTCGAACACGTTAATAATTAAAACTTATCTTAAGCCATATTTGTAAGATTAAATAATCAAAATTATGCCTTCACATGCTGAAGCACTCTGAATATATAATACTATAAAATGAACATGTTTTAATGATATTGAATTTTTCTTTTTTAAACTTTCTGTGCATGCTAATTAACACCAATGGTTACATACGATCATACAATTAATTTGCTTAAAATTGGAACTGATCTTTAACTTTCTGTGTCATGCTTAATCACCAATGTTATAAATGATCATTTATTAATTCATTTATACGTATATATATACAAAGTAAGAATGCAATTAAATGATAAGATAAATGAAAATACATAATTCACATAAGTTATTAACATAAAACAATAGACACACTCTTGCATGAAAAATTAAGATAAGATTACTTAACATATATATACAGATGCATCCCCTAAGTTTACCACCCCGATTCAAAAGTGAAAATTACACATTAAACTGTACCTATATTGCTTTAGTTTCCCTCACCAGTGTCTAACTAAGCATCACTAAACAAGTGGAAAATATATGTAGAACGAAAGTATGCACCCAAAAAATAAAAACAGAGAAAATTATTTCTCATTCATACTTGAAACTTAATTTGGTTATCAACTAAGTCCAGGATCTCAGCAGTGACTTCATCTAGATGCACATTTTTTTGCGCATCAACTTCAATGGCCATGTTCAGATCCAAAGAAAGGCATGGAATTTTCTCTTCTGAGTTATTAAGATTATCTTTTTCCATGTTTTCATCAGAAGATGGAGAAGTAGTTCTTGCAGGAGAAGAGGCTTTTGACGCTGAACTAAAGTTTTCACAGCTGAAAATGACAATGGCATCCTTGAGAGGCACAGATTCACCACAAGGAAGGGTTATAGTTCCATTTTCAATTGCTTTCTTAACACCCTTTTTTGAAAAGTGATCAACTTGCTCCAAATCTTCCATGAAGAACACCCTGTGAGGATTCTCATTCACAGCTTCTCCAAATCTCTGAAGATAACTGCCACCAAACTCATCTCGTGGTCTTTTATTTTTGGACTCCTCGTTCGTGGAATCACCACCTCTTGAGGTAGAAAAACTGCTTACACCAATGGGGACAAAGTTGCTGTAAGAGCCAAAGACAACTTTAGCTAGCTCTTTTGAGACCATTTCTTTTGCTCGAGAATCCATACCTAGAAAGAAAAACCAAGTTTCTTGTCTATCTTCTCTCTTCACCAAGTGATTCTCTCCTTTTCTCATTCCTGACCTGGAAAGAAGCACACTGCTTGCAATCTCCTTAGCCATTTCTTTATTTTGTGGAACCTTTTTCTGCAATGCATCGTTGAGAATCTTTAGATTCTCGTCATTATGCTCTTTGAACAATTGAGTGCTATCCAAACCTTCAGCTGCCTCACTTGAAGAAGCTGAATTGGGACTAGAATTGGGATTGGACAAAAGATCTGGCCTAGGAATGTTTCTCTCTGGCATGAACATTATCAAGTTACCTTCATAACACTCATCACTGACAGTAGTCTCAGTGTATAACTGACATTCTTTAGCCACTTCTTTTGGTTCAGAAATGACTGGCCAATTTAGGTGGGTGAGATTGAAGCTAGACTTTCTTTCATGTGAAGAGGCTGAAGTAGGGGATGAAGGCGATGATGAAATGAACAAAAATTGTTTCTCAAGATTGGAGGGATAACCATGTGCTGAACTGCAGAAAGAGTTCCATTTCTTGCCTATTTCCTTAAGCTTAGAATTTTCCTGGTTCAAAACAGAAACACATAAACGTCAGTGCCAAGACTTTTGCTCATCAATTATAATACCTTATCATTGAGTATTTGGAATCAAGAATGATTAACTAATTGTGATAATAACCTGATCATCCATCACGTGACTTCTCTCTTCCTTGCAATTTTTGAGCCATGTTGGCAAGCTAGTAGTGCAGTCTCTCTTGCTTATAGTAATACTATTGGCGATGCTTTTAGCTTCTTTTTCAAAATTCAATGAGCAATCTCTGCAGCAAGTTAAATGTTTGCGCACTTTGGCCCGTTCTTCAAAAGATTCCTTGAATGTTGCCTTGCTTCTCTCCTGAACTTGAAAATCACTGAAACAAAGAAAAACAAAAACCAAATAGTATCACTACGAGGCATTCACTAGTAATAATAGTAACAGTAAGAGAATTCCAAGCAGAGAAATGTAGAATATATAAGAATGATAGTTAGTTACCTATCAAAATTTAAACCCAGGCTCAGGCTACCAACTGGAACTGTGAAAGGGTGAAGATCCCAAATAGTTTCAAGGGAAGGGTGACATGCTTTGCCCTTCATGTATGTTCTAAAAGTTGCAATCCCCATAAGCCACAATCTACCATTCTCCCCATTTCCACCGATTAATTTTTTAAGCTCCATCACCATATGCTCCACAGAACTGTAGTAGTTTGTTCTTTGCTCACAATAACTTGACCAGAACTCAAACAACCACTTGAGATCACCCAAGTATAGAATGAAGCCTCTTCCCACGTGACTTTTTACCAGGCTTCTAAGCTCTAGCAGTTTCCTTTCGACCTCCTCCTTGCTAATGTTCCTGAAGGAGAAAAGAGGAAGACTCACAAATTGCACAAACCTCAACTCTCCTTGAGGATTCTCCAACCTTTGCATCACTCCCCTAGCTACTCCCTCAGCACTAGCAAGACTCTCCCCAACAATTACCGTGTTTCTCCTCTTGCTCACAAGTGAATTCAAAGCACTTGTTACATCATCTACACCAGCAGTTTCATCGTTAACATGGTCCACAGACTTGATGAATGAGCCCCCGAATTGACTAAAAGATCTTGGTGGGGACGTGTTCCTACCACCAAGAACTTGAAGCTTGGTGGTGTTTTCCTGGGAAGCTTGTTCTTGTGAACAAACGTCCATTGAAACAGCTTGTTCAACCCTGGTTTTGACAAAGGCAGTAGAGAAACCAGCTTCTGTCATGACCCTGCTAATGAAAGGGTCATCAAGGATAGAGACTATGAGCTGCTCCACCTCAATCTTCAAGGCCAAAATGGGTTGCTGCTGGTTCTCAATGGAACCACGGCGTTGGTGAGCCTGAGCTCGCTTGAAGGCTGCAACCAAGGCATTGGAGAGTGAGGGAGTGGCGGAATATGAAGCACTCAGAAGAGGGCTTGGTGTGGAGGCTGGCAAACGGTTGAGGGAAACATTGAAGCAAAGTTCTAATGCCTTGTATTGGAGAGGATGAGCGTGGCACTGAAGGCAAGCTTTGCGGAGAAGGCCAGTGGAAGTAGCAAGCATGACAGTAGCAATATGAAGAGGTGTAACTTGAGCATGTCCTCTTCTTGTGGCAAGAGTAACAGCTTGCTTAACTAGGGTTGCAGCCTCTGGTGTCAAAGCCTGTAGCTGTATGCTGCAAACTCCTGCTCTCATTTTTCCAAAACTTTGCTTCTACCACAAAGAGAATTTGGAGTTTTATTAAACCTAAAACTTGATGGATCTCAGTATTTTGGTTATGTTTAGAAGAAATAACTTAAATGGGGTTTGGTTCAAAGAGGTCCATAAAATTTTGGGTTGAAAGCAATAATAAGAGTTTAATGCTAAGATAGTGGTAGTATGAGGAAGAGGCAGATATATATTTATATATAGTGGTAGCTCATAGTAGTGCATTTGAGGACACCAAGACTAGTGTCTGCGCCATTGATATGATGAGGGTTTTGTGCCTTTCTTGTTGCTGAGGGAAATTTTGGCTTTGCATGTGAAAGTGGATTGCATGTGATGAAACTTTCTCTCTCTCTCTCTCTCTCTCTCTCTTTGGTATATAGGTAAAAGTTATTTGGATTATCAAAAGCTGCTTCTATTCAATCTTGTGGTACTATAAAATATGTTGCAAAGCAACAAGCTAGCTTTAATCACAGTGAATGGAATAATTGCTTTTGTCACAAATAAGCTCAAAACTTGATGATGGAAAGACAAAGAGAAAAGAAGGTGAAAAAAAGAAAAGAGGGAAGTGTATAAAAGGAGGATGTTCTGCCAATAACGAGGTAGTGAGGAAAAAGAGGAGAGGACGGTCTGTCTGTTTGAATGGACAGTGAACAGTGGTTGTTGATTGGCTTTTCTTTTGTCTAATCTCGAGGAGATCAAGAATAATCCTTGAATGATTGATGGAATAATGCTTCACTAGATCGAATAAAATACTAGCAAGTTTAGTATGACAGCATGTGAATGTTCTTCAAATGTGTCTCTTTGTGTTTCTCTTCTAACTTCTAATTCATTCCAAAAGTTGGCTTTCTTATACATTTAATATGTCCAAATCATGCTTGCATAAATAGATAGTCCTATAATAAGCTCACAAATTCGAAGAATGATATATATAGCACACGGAAAATGGCTCATATACATATTTAAAATCATGGGTTTTCTGTTGACTGATACACTGATAAATAAGATGACAAAATAGATGATATAGTTCATACGATTTGTCGGCTTTCAGAAATGCAACAAAAGATCGCTAAAAGATGAAGTGGCATTTTATTGAATTTTAAACATGCTGTGCCAGAATTTTGCAAGTGAGAAGATTCATCGAACAACAACATAGGAGAAATATAATTTAGGGTTATCACTCCCGTAAAAAACTAGATCATTTATATCAAACTTTCCATATTGGTTGGTAAAAAATACCAAAGGAATGCATTATAATATTTAGATAAATAATATTTAAAGTCCATTATATAAGAAATTCACACAAAAAGTATTTTTTGTGTCGATAGATCATTATTGCATCTAACGTAAGAGTAAAATTTTATATTTCTTACAAAGAATCTATATATAAAAAGTCTATTTTTTCTTTTTAAATCTCCCTTTTTTTTTTTTGGTTTTATGGTTTGTGTTGTCGTAGTTGTATGCTCTGGAGTTCATTGTCATCTTTATCCACCTTCATCATTTTCTTCCTATTGTGTGACAACCCCTGCCTAGCTAGTCGCACGTTAGTAATCGCATCAAGTTGTGCTCACATCTTGCTCTATGACAACTACTGCCCGGAGTTGCATTGAGTGATTTTTATCGGAGATTTTACATAGTTTAGATAAAGTAAATTTATGATATATAAGAAGGTGGAAATTGTAATTTATACAAGCGAATTTATGGTCAAGTTAAACTTTATTTTTTTAGGTCATATCAAATTATCTAAAGTCTTAGCTAAATTTTTTATTTTTTGTTGGACCTACAATGTTGACTCTTATAGAAACTTTCATTAATATCCAGTCTCACGTTTGAGATATATATCTCTCAGAATGAGGAGATGTGTTGGTGATCATTTCTTTGATCCACGGTAGTAAAGAGTGTAGGATAGATTTTTTCATAATTTATTGATTCTGACTTTATTTTGGTGGAGGCACTAACAATTGGATGTCAATAATGCCTTTTTACATGGTGACTTAAATGAAGAGGTTTACATGCAAATACTACTGGGGTCCTTGCAACAGGTAAAAATCAAGTATGTCTCCTTCATAAATCTCTTTATGGTTTGAAACAAGCTAGCAGATACTGGTATGACAAGTTATCATCTTTTCTTCTCTCTCACAACTTTTCACAAGCATTTGGAGACCACTTTCTTTTTGCAAAGCATACTGGGAATAACATTACTATAATTCTTGTTTATGTTGATGATATCATACTCACTGGAAATAATATTCATGATATTGATCAAATAACTAACCTTCTTAATGACAATTTCAAAATAAAAAATCTTGGTAATCTATCTTACTTTCTGGGTTTGATGTCTCTAGAAGCAGTGTAGGAATCCTTTCAACCCAGAGGAAATATGTCATTGATCTTCTCACATAAACAAGGATGGTTGATGTAGCTCCTGTCAGCACCCCTATGAACTTCTCCACCAAAATCTCTTCTGATGGTGTTCCTCTTGATGACCCTGTTGCGTTCATGAGGCTAATAGGAAGACTTATCTACCTCACCAACACCTGTCGAGATATCACTTACGATGTACATTGTCTCAGCTAATTTGTTGCTGCTCCAACCACGCTCCATCACCAAGCTGCCTTTAGAATCTTACGCTATATCAAACGAACTCCTGGCCAAGGTATTTTTCCAACCGCAAATAATAACCATCAATTAAAAGCTTACTGTTATTTCGACTGGGCCGACTGCCCTGACTCTCGCAAATCCACCACTGGCTACATTGTTTACTTGGGGTACTCGCCAATATCATGGAAATCAAAAAAGCAAAACACGATCTCTAGCAGCTCATCCGAAGCAGAATATCGCACTCTTGCCCAGACCATTTGTGAGCTCCAGTGGCTTAGCAATTATGAACGATCTCTATCTTCTTCTCACACAACCTGCCACCATATATTGTGACAACATGTATGCCATCAAAATCGCCACGAACCAAGTCTTCCATGAACGAATAAAGCACATAGAAATTGACTGCCATCTCATTCGGGAAAAAGTCTAACAACAGGGCATTGTGAAGCTCCTCCCCATACACACTACTCTACAACTTGCTGATATATTGATCAAGCTTCTTCCTCCTTCAACCTTTCATAACATCAATGACACTCTCAACATCTACGCCAAGCTTGAGAGAGGCTGTCAGAATCCTCCTCCATAATTTAGACATAATATATATTTTATATTCACATAGTAACATTGTGTAGAAAGTTCTTTCTCCCTCCTCTTCTCTGTAAGTCTCTTTTTGCTTATCACGACACACACAATCTCACACATGGATCACCCACTTCATAGACATGATCCTTCAAGAGCATACTTTGCCGCTCTTCCATGAAAACTCATTATATTTTATGAGGTTTTTCTATGTTTGCTATGTAAACTTTATAGGTTCTTTTGTTACTCTAATATCATACTAGTTGTTCATTATGTATTGATAACAGTTGATTTCACCGTTAGTTGAGAGTAAATTTTGATATCAATTGAACCCTTTTTAATTTAGAAACTTGTTTGTTCTCTTGATTTTCGTTTATTTTGGGAAATAATAGAGTTGAGGTTACACTTGAAGATTTTATCAGTAAACCCCCTTGGTTTTGTAGGAAATTGGGATGAATTGGAAGAGGAGTTAAGTTGTCAAGAAGTTGGAACTCATAAAGGACAAAAAGAGCACCAGAAGAAAAGGTTGCAGAAGGTCGCACTCACGCTTGGGCGCCCTTTTTGGGGAGCTGAGTGCCATCTTTCCTGCAACGTTCCACGCCTGAGCGCCCTCCATTGGACGCTTCTCGCAAGCACGCCTGAGCGCCTAAGTAGGGGCGCTGAGCGGTGGCAATATTGGTCCATGACCCAATTCAGATCTATTTAAGGATTAGCTCGACCTAGAGAGGGTATCTCTTGACAGAATTAACACAAATTCAGATTTTCTTCAATTCTTTGGAGGCAGAAGTGGATGCGGAAGCTCTCCTCTTCAGGTTTTAGGGTTTTTCTATCTTTTTCATTCCATTATTCTTCTAGTTTCCCCATGATGATAGGGAACTAAACATTATTTGTTGTTGGGGGATGATGTAACCTTGTGAACTCTCATATATTTGAATTGATCTTAATTATATATGCTTCTTTCATCAATTGTTAGGGTAATTCTTCTTTACTCAATGCTTGTTATGTTTAACTCATTCATGGCATGATGTATGATTTGCATGAGTACCGGGAGGTACCTTACAATTCATGTTCTGAAGGATTTCTCCCAAAAGTAGTATTGCTCAGAGATGGGGATATGAGTTTTGGTCATCTTAAGCTCCTAATCGTAATGCAGAATTAATTATTAGGGATGCAAGGGATTATGGTCTAGTAATTAAGGATAAACTTTCTTCGTCGAGGGATCAGGTTTTAAGTAATTTAGAGAGTGATGTTAACAATTGAATGAAGAAGATAAATTCATATATGCATGAGAGTAAGCTAGGTGAAATTTAAACCCCAACAACATAGTCATCTCATATTCAAGATCATCCATTCACGTTGTGTTTTTCTTTCAATTGGTCAAAAGTGCATTCATATGTACTTTCTTGTTTTGCATACAAAATTTCAAATTGTTCTTCGAAAGTCTTAATTAGTTGAGTAATCACATAACTATTTAATGTCGTGAGTCCTTTGGAATACAATACTTGGTCTTATCATTTTATATTACTTGATACGATTCGGTACACTTCGACATCTTAACATGTATCTAGATGGGTAGATTATTCAATGTCATTTTTGAAATCAAATATTCTACTCTCTTTTTTGTTCAAAAATTTGTAACATGTCTAGGTCAATTATCAGAAAATACATATTGCTTGCTTTCAGTTTTTCAAACTTTTATACAAATTAATGTGGAGATTTTTTAAGCAAAATAACTATGGAAACAAATTGAGAACGTAAAATATAATATGCAATGGATTGAGGAAAACAAAATAGAAGAAGATGAAAAGTGAATTCACGTATTCAAGAAACAAAAGTAGAAGATGAAAAGTGAATTCACATATTCAAGAAGTAAAAGATTTCTCTTATCACATATTTATGAAGATTCATATCCAAGTTTGAATAATTAATTGACTTAATTTATCAATTTAATCATACAGATCAAACAAAAATATTATAGAATATTATATATATTAATTATCAAATCAAGATTCAATCAGTTTTTAATTTAATTTTAAAATAAAAAACACAAATTATAATCATAAAGTGCAAATCTAAAATTATAGAAAAGAACAAACTCAAAATATTAAACCATTAGTGCAAAACTTAATTTGGACTATCTGATCTTGATTTTATGAATTGATCCTAGGAATTATGTGTATGAAAAACAGTAAACAAAAATGAGAG